GAATCACATTTGATTTTGCACTAGTGTCCAATTTTACAGCACTGATATAAAACTTTTCTTTTTACAATAGCCACCAGCCTTTAGAGAAAACACTGATTCTGAATTCTAAGAAAAATAGGAGGATCAATCCTCTCCCCTTTCTGACCCTGGTGGGGCTAGTTCATATTGCATACAGACTCATAGTTTATTGTGAAAACACTTTCACCAACTTCTGCTACAGGGCTAGCAACATAATTAAATTGTGGGGCTTGTTCTTAAGTTATTAAGAATTGCAAGTTACAACAGTATAGCATTAAGTGTGGGGCTTTTATAAGCAGGAAGTCTGTGAGACTGCATAATATGCCTAGCCACAAAGAGTGGGGGGCTGTGCTCAAGTTCAGTTCTCTAACCACAGGTGCTCATAAACAGGCCAGGTTCAGGGCAGGAAACAAACATGAAATCATTCTGACCAAAAACAACCCAATGCAGAGACATACAACTCTCCCTGTATGAATGGCTTTTATAGTGATCCCTCCCCCAGTTCTTTGAGACCTCTTACATAATTAGAAGACACTTGGGAGAGGTTTTCCCAGAATAAAGGAATAATCTGATTAAAGACTACTAAAATGTTTGTGCTTGCCAGACTGAAGCTACTTGCAGTTTTCAAGAGTTAATATTTTCAACTTCTACCCATTAAGGTTTACAAAATCTTCATGTCTAAATTTTAGCCTGGGCACCCTGGGCAAAAGCTGAGGGTCCTTCAATCCCATGGGCTTCCACAGGAAACAGCTATGTTGGCCTGTCTTGTCACTGAAAAAGCAGTGATTATTGCAGTGTGTGTGTGTGTGTGTGTGTGTGTGTGGTGTGTGTTCCCTATGTTACCAGAGAGGAAGGGGAAAGGGGCTGGTAAAAAGGGGTAGAGAGAGTTAATTTGATAGTGGTGAATGGTAAAAGAACATTAGTGGTATGTACAGTTTGGTATACATATTTATTATAATATAATCACTTGGATGAGTGCTCAAAGATGTTTATACTTTCTTTATGTTAAGTTTGTTCAACAATTCAATAATTGTTGAACAATACGGTAATTGTTCAACAATAGGCTACTGGTTGGCTAAGTTGTGGAATAGCCATGTAATCCATTGAATGTAAAATATAAAGAAAGAAATAGGGCCTCCCTGGTGGCGCAGGGGTAAAGTGTCAGTGCTATCAAGCTATCGCCAGCCACTGCAGCATGAGTTCAATCCCCAGCCAGGAAGCTGAACCACATGGCACAGCAGACCTCTCCTGTCTCACCCGCTGCTTCCCTCAGCAATGTATTTCATCAGTCTGCCTGTTCTACTCCCCGCTCTGGTGAATCCTCTCACCCTCCCGCGCATCTGGCCTGTACCCTGGTTCTTGTATAAATAAATATTTTTTTTTAAGATTTATTTATTTATTTATACAAGCACTGGGTACAGTCAGAAGCACGGGAGGGTGAGAGAATTCACCAGAGCCAGAGCATGGAGCAGAACAGACAGACTGACGAAATACACTGCTGAAGGGAGCAGCAGGTGGCAGGAGAGGTCTGCACGCCATGTGGGACCCTCACCCGGTGGCCCAGGATGGAAACAGCACTGCAGAGGCTGCGGGCAGCTTCACAGCCCAGCGCTCAACCACTGCACCACCGGGGAGGCCCTAAATAAATAATCTTTAAAAAAAAAAAAAAGAACAATGAAGCCAAACAACAGAACTGATAGTAAAATTCCATTTTTTTAATAAGAACAAAATTTTGTCAAAAGTCACAAGACAACTTCTGCTCTAACTACCAATCATATATGACTCTTTACTATGTCATCCTGAATTCTTTTTCTTTAGAGTACTGCACTTACACATGTTGAACTTTGCCTTTTTTTTTAAAGATCTATTTATTTATAAATAGGGTGAGAGGATTCACCAGAGACAGAGTGGGGAACAGAACAGGCAGATTGACTGAAATACACTGCTGAGGGGAGCAGTGGGCAAGAAAGAGAGGTCTGCCATGCCATGTGAGTATCTCCGTGGCCGGCCGGGATCAAACCCGCACTGCAGAGGCTGCGGACAGCTTCACAGCAATTTTGCCTTTTTAAAAAAAATATTTATTTATTTTTGCATACGAGAACTGGGGTACAGGCCAGAGATGTGGGGAGGAGGTGTGAGAGGATTCACCAGAGACAGAGTGGGAAACAGAACAGGCAGAATGATCAAAATACACTGCTGAGGGTAGCAGTAGGCGAGACAGGAGAGGTCTGCTGCACCATGTGGGATTTTCACTGGCCGGCCGGGATTGAACCCGCACTGCAGAGGCTGTGGACAGCTTCACAGTGCTGCGCTCAATCCACTGCGCCACCGGGGAGGCCCGCAACTTTGCTTTTTTAAAAAAGATTTATTTATGTGTGCATAGAAGAACTGGTGGGGTCTATGGGAGATGATTTACCAAAGACAGAGTGGGGAGCAGAGCAGGTGGATTTACTGAAATACATTGCTAAAGGGAACAGCGGGTGAGACAGTTCTGCTCTGTCATATGTGGGTTAGCTCTTTGCCTGGGGATTGAACTCATGCCACAGCTCTGATAGCTTGATAGCACTGAGACTTAACCCCTACACCACCAGGGAGGCCCTATCTGTACAGACAGAACTATCTGTACAAAGTTCCATGTGTTCAGACTTTATTCAATGCTCTATCCTCAGTTCCTAAACACTTAGATATTCAATATTAATGTAAAAATATGAATCATGACCCACAAACATATATGAAACACATATCTTCACACATGGATTTTAAAATGTTACATATTTTTTAAAGAATATGAGTTTATGGGACTAAAATCTCTATGATCTGACACAAAATACTGAAATATCCTAAAATAATATTTGTAAAATTTTTCCTGTTGATATAGCAATCTTACTTGTATAGTCTCATTTGGTCCTTATAATCTCCTTATGAGGTACACAGAAATAGAAATAATTAAAATAGACTTACCCAGTAGGCAAAGCTTTGGTCTGGGGTCAAAATGGTGAACTGACCAGACTGGCGACTGGAGGATATTTGAGAATGGTATTACAATGCTGCAGGATTCAATAAACTGGGGTTAATGTGAGATGATACAACATATGAGGACAATAATGTAAAAGAAGCTATAATGGACTTCCCTGGTGGAGCAAGGGGTTAAGACTTCAACCTATGAAGCTATCCATGGCCACTGCAGCACAGGCCGGCCAGGGAGGTACTCGCATTGCTCAGTGAACATCCTGACTCGCCCGCTGCTCCCCTCAGCAGTGTATTTCAGTCAATGTGCCTGTTCAGCTCCCCACTCTGTCCACTCTATCTCTGGTGAATCCTCTCACTCCCCCATCCCCATCTATGGCCTGTGCCCCAGTTCTTGTATGCATAAATATATAAATCTTTAGAGAAAAAAAAGACTTTCTGAAAACCTTTCTTTTTTTTAAAATTTATATATTTATGCATACAAGAACTGGTGGTGTAAGCCAGAGTTGCAGGGGGGAGGGGGTGAGAGGATTTACCAGAGAGAGTGGGGAGCAGAACAGGGGGATCCACTGAAACACACTGCTGAGGGGAGCAGCGGGGTGAGACAGGAGAGGTCTAATGCACCATGTGGGTCAGCACCCTGGCTGGGGATGGAACTCCTGCAGCAGTGGCTGGCAATAGCTTGATAGTACTGAGACTTAACCTCTGCACCACCAGGGAGGCCCCTGAAAACCTAATTACAGGATGTTTTGCATTAAGAAAGCACTGGACCTAACCATTAGGTAGCACATCTTGCCTAAAGAGCAGTGGACAAAATAGGAGGAGGATAGATTCTACCTTGAAACATACTGGGAAAGATAAGAGAGAAGAGTGGGCAAAGAAATAATTCTGTGGTCGAAATCTGTGGCCGGCTGCAGCTATCCTCAAAGGAATTTTTGTTTTGTTTTTTTGCTTAAAAGAACTGGAGTATAGGGCCTCCCCGGTGGTGCAGCGGTTGAGTGCTGGGTTGCGAAGCTGCCCGCGGCCTCTGCGGCGCCGGTTCGATCCCCGGCTGCTCCCCGGCCACCGGAGGAGGGTCCCACATGGCGCGCAGACCTCTCCTGCCGCCCGCTGCTCCCCTCAGCAGTGTACTTAGGTCCTTCTGCCTGCTCTGCTCCCCGCTCTGGCTCTGGTGAATTCTCTCACCCTCCCGCGCTTCTGACTGTACCCAGTGCATGTATAAATAAATTAATTAATTTAAAAAAACAAAACAAAAAAAAACTGGAGTGTAGGCCAGAGGTGTGAGGTGGAGGTTGGGGGTAAGAGGATTCACCAGAAACAGAGTAGGTGACATAACAGGCAGATCTACTGATATACACTGCTGAGGGGAGTAGCAGGCCTGGCAGGAGAGGTCTGCTGCTCAGTATGTGGGTTAAGGCCCCGATAGAGCTCAGGCCACAGTGGTGATATAGCGCAGAGACTTAACCCCGGCCACCGGGGAGGGCATTTTCTCAAAGAATTTTTATGAATTTGGCTAAATCTGAAATGCATAATTTAGAACTTATTTGAGCTGCAAATGTATTACTTTAAATAAATATCTACTGTGGAAAAAACCCTGCATGTATTTGTACCTTAGCTTTGCTGAAGTCAAGTTTTTCAACTGAGGTCCCAATCGTGTTCAACTCATTCTTTTCTGTTTTACTCTCCATGCAACCAAATCTATGACCATTACAACGTTTATTCTTTCTGTGCGTGTGGAGAAGGGAGAAAAAGGTGAGAGATACCTGGTAAGAGAATGTTCTTCCCTGCTTCACACTATATATTTGTACTCATTCCTCAAAACCCTGCTTAGGCCCAACAACCGGGCTCGTTTCTCTTCAAACTGGAGACCCACACACCTGACAGGGCACAGCCGCCCCCCAAGCAGTGGCGCCTCAAGGAAGCTGCCCCAGCGGGTCGCAGGGGCTGCTTGGCCCCGCCCACGCCCGAACGGCCGGGGCCCTAAGTCCCGCCCCCTCCGAGGATTTCCCAAAACCCCGCGCGGCAGCGTCAGCCGCGCTAAGATGGCGACTCCCATGCATCGTCTCATAGCCCGGAGACGAGCGTAAGTGAAGGCCGCGGGGCGGGATGGGGGCGGGGAGTGGTGCGTCAGCTGGCTGGTGACCCGGCGCCGGGATGCAATTTTGGTGGCGGATCCACAGTGGGGACCTACCGATGGTAGCCGTTTGGCTCACGCGTTCCCTGCTCCCGACGAACGGGGCCTGGGCGATAAGTTTGGGGCTCGTGGAATAGCGATTTCGCAGAAGCCAGCGGCGTGAAGTCCGCGGGGCGGGATCTAGGGAGTGTCTGAAGAGAGCCTCGTGTTTGGTTTTTGAGGAGTTGGTCGCTAAGTGGTTGATGTCCCCTTACCCACCCCGCCGCCCACCCCACACAAGATGGGGGAAACCCTGAAGCACTGACACCCCCACTCTCTCCTACATAAACCTTGAGCTCCCTATGCATCCTCCAGTCCAACTGGCCTTTTCTGCCCCTTTCCAATGGCCTCCCTAGACTGTAACATAGACTTTCCTCCCAAGTTAACTTTCCACTCTCTGTCTTCAATAAATATTCATTTATTCATCTCTGCTCTGTGTGAGACTTTGGGTATAAAAAGTTTTTGGAGATGGGATCCTGCTTTCAGGGACCTTACATTCTAGTGCAAAGAGTCGTTATGTTTTAAGTAATTTATCAACTGACAAGAACTTTGAAGGACATAAGATAATGAAAAAAGAAAAAGACCCACATTCGAATGGTTGGACCGAAAAGCATCTCCTAAGAGGTAGTAATTATTTGAACAGACTTTGAAAGTTTGAGAACGGAAGTTGTCATAAGAGGCTTTGGGGATTTGTGGAAAGGGCATCCGGACTGTAGCATCACTGCTGTCAGACAGTTCTTAAGAACTCAGTTCTTAAGTGATTATTGTGGCTAATGAGGGAGAGTGTCACATGGTTTGCTGTGGACAGATAATGCTGGAGTATCCCAGATGTCCTTTTCTTGTAAAGTCTTTTTTTCTTTTACCAACCGGCACCCCCAGACAACTGCCTGCCACTTTTTCATTCTCAGCATTTCGTCATCACCATTTGTACATTTATATCACTCAATGTCTGCTAGCATCTGTATATTTGCTTATATTCCTTTATATACATTTTTTTTCTAAGAGCCCTATTCCTTCTCATCTCCCCTCCATCCCTCTCTACCTCTCATGCTTCATGGGAAGTTCCTTGAGTATAAGGTAAATACTTAGTGGTCATGTTATAGTAGGACATCCTTTTCCCCCTAACAGTCAGAGTAGTATGCTTGGTAGAAAAAGAAGACTTTGGATTCAGACAGTTATGAGATAAAAATTAGGGTGATGATAATGCTAAGGCGATGTCATCAGGGACCACTCTCTAATTCTCAGGTTTATTCTTTTAGATGTTGATTCCATACTTAGATAGGTTTAAACCCTTAGCTTCAAGATTGCTACAGAACCTAGAGTCATTTATATCCTTCAGCTTCAGGTTGATAGCATCACATTGGTCTAGAGTGGTTTACATGCCCCACCCTGAACCATGTCTATGAGATTTTATACCTCTGATTGACTTAGATCTCATTTTCTTCCCAACACATGGAAGGGGTCTCTAAACTCAGTGGTCAGAGGAGGTAATGAATGCTGGCTTTGCAAAACTATCTAATGTCCATTGTAAATGTGAAGTGACAGTAAGATTTATAGCACCTGAAGTAATTGGTATTTCTTGTTTCAGAATTATCATAAATTAAATGTTCACTTTCTGCAGTATGCTTTTATTTGGTATAGGAGCTTCACAGAAGAAAAGACAAATCTTACTTTTAGGAACTTGGAACTTCAGTATTGTCTGGAATAAAACATATGGTATATAGTAAAAGCTATTGTGGTATACAAACTGTAAGTCCCCAGAGACTTGGAGATGGACTGGCCCTGGAGAGTTTAAGGGGTATTTTTAGAGAAAAACAAGAGAAATGTATACTTTTCATATTATGTTTATCAAAAAGTCTTAATTTCATTTATAAGGAACATACATTACTTCCATAATAGCAAGTTTTAAACTTCCTAAGTTATGAGAAGTGAGACAGTATTATTGCCATTCTTTGTGAAGTCTTTGATCTAATGGGTGCAAAGGGGAAATGAAGAAAAGAGAGAACCTGAGTGAACTCCTCATTCAGGAGATCTTTTAGGAACTTAATTTTAAATCAGTTGAAATGTTATTTTCACTTTGTAAATTGTAATTACATATATACTGTAAGTAGATTATAGAATGTTACTACTATCTGACCTCATTTCTTTTACTAAACATTCCACTGGATTCCACTACTCTCGCTTCTCTTACTCTGAAGGGTATAATCTACTCTTGATTTAATTAGAAAAGGTTATCTAGGGCCTCCCCGGTGATGCAGCGGTAGAGCGCTGGGTTGCGAAGCTGCCCGCGGCCTCTGCGGCGCTGGTTCAATCCCCAGCTGCTCCCCGGACACCGGAGGAGGGTCCCACATGGCGCGCAGACCTCTCCTGCCGCCCGCTGCTCCCCTCAGCAGTGTACTTCGGTCCTTCTGCCTGCTCTACTCCCTGCTCTGGCTCTGGTGAATTCTCTCACCCTCCTGCGCTTCTGACTGTACCCAGTGCATGTATAAACAAAACAAACAAACAAACAAACAAACAAAGAAAGAAAGAAAAGAAAAGAAAAGAAAAGGTTATCTAACTTTGGCATGAAGACCTCCAGTAAGGATATACTCACCTCCTGAAGTAGCAGATTGCATTTTTCACATCTCTCAAAGTGTTTACGTTCATTAAAAGTATTATCATATTTATAAAGATAAACCCTGCCCCCTTCTCACTCTATAGCTTTTGACCTAACCTGTGATTTCAGTCATTTAAAAACCCAGTTTTCCACTTGAATTGCCACCAAATCAAGCTTCCCCTGTCTTGTACTTGTATTGATTTTTCTGGACTTAAGTGTCAGATTACTTTTACCCTTGTTAAATTTCATCTTACTAGATTCGACATAGAGCTCCAGCTTGTCAAGACCTTTTTGGATCCCGATTCGGTCATCTGTCGCATTAGCTTTGTGTCAACTACAGGTTTGCACATCTATGTCCCCATCCAAGTCATTTATAAAATGTTAAACAAGACCAAACTGAGGACTGCAAGCCATCTCTGGATCCACTCTATTTGCTTCAACCATTGAACACACTCTTTGTCCAGGATTTCATTTGACCTACCTGATTCTTCTGTTTTGTTCACAAAGAGAGACATTTCCAGATGTCTTACTGAAATACAGATAGCCAAAAGACAATAAGGGTACCAGTCTGTAATGATTTGATACCTTGTGATCATGACTTTTCCTTCTGAATGAGTTAATAAATCTAACCAGAATTTTGCCTGGAGTAGATGTCAAGTTCACTGTTCTACTTTGTGGCATCTACTTTTTCCCCATTTGAAAATCAAAACAGCATATTGTCTATTTTCAGCACTGCCAGAGTTTCTCATATTACCAAAGGTAGTACATCAGTCTCACCTGAAAAAATCTCTGGTATTTGACTTAAACATACTCAGAATGGATAACGTCCCTGTTACACCTACTCCTCGGTTTTATTCTCATTCTGGATATAATTGTGTTTGAGTTAGGATGAAAGCAAAGTAAAATTAGTTCTTTTTGCTACTTACCATATAATATGATGAATTTTTGGTAGCCTGTTTGCCTAGCACTCCAAATACTAAGTCTATCCCTTGATTTTGATTCCTTGTGCTTTAAATATAATTAAAACAAATAAAACCATTTTCTATATTCTTGATATTTTTCACTATTCTCAGCTCATTTTGGCAGGAGGCTTTCAGATATTTTTCTTGTAGTCCTTCTCTACTCTTTTATATTCCTTAGTTACATGTTCCTTGAAAAATATCTTTAAATTTTGTTTTATAATTTCACATGCTATCCATGTTCATTGTAGAAAAATTAGAAAATATAGATAAGGGGGAAAGTACTATAATCTTACCCCAAAGATTGTCATTGTTTACATCTTAGTGTTTAACTTTAGGCCATTTTCAACACTTTAAATTTTCTTTATTGATATATAGTATCTTTTTGACCAATTCCATTGTTGTGAGGTAGTCAGGTTTTACTTTTTTTTTTTTTTAAGATTTATTTTTATTTATACAATACAGGCCAGAGGTATGGGAGTGTTGAGAGGATTCACCAGAGACAGAGTGGGAGAAAAACAGGCAGACTGACCGAAGACACTGCTGAAGGTAGCAGCAGGTGAGGCAGGAGAGGTCTGCCATGCCATGTGGGTATCTCCCTGGCCGACTGCAACCCACGTTGCAGAGGCTGCGGACAGCATGACAGTGCAGCGCTCAAGCTGCTGAGCCACTGGGAAGGCCCAGGTTTTACTTCTTTTTTTTTTTTAACTTTTTTGTCTTATTTATTTAAAGATTTATTTATTTATTTATTTTTATACAAGAACTGGGGTACAGGCCAGAGGCGCAGGAAGGTGAGAGGATTCACCAGAGACAGAGCCAGGAACAGAACAGGCAGACAACCGAAATACACTGCTGGGGGGAGCAGCGGGTGCGACAGGAGAGGTCTGTCATGCCATGTGGCGTCTTAACCCCTCGTGCCACCGGGGAGGCCCTAGTTCTATAAATTCTAACAGATGTATTTTGTCACCTAACTAGGACCAACTCTAAATATTGAACAGGGCCTCCCCTGATGGCACAGCGGTTGAGCACTGGGCTGCGAAGCTGCCTGCAGCCTCTGCAGCACCGGTCAATCCCCAGCCACCAATGAGGGTTCCACATGGCGTGCAGACCTCTCCTGACGCACCTTCTGCTCCCCTCAGCAGTGTATTTCGTTGGTCTGCCTGTTCTGTTCCCTGCTCTGACTCTGGTTAATTCTCTCACCCTCCCGTGCTTCTGACTATACCCAGTGCTTGGATAAATAAATAAATAAATCTTTAAAATAAATAAATATTGAACAATTCTATCACCTAAAATCTTTCTCTGTCACCCTTTTTAAGTAAACCCTTGCTTCAGCTTCTGTCTCTGACAACCATCAA